GCGTAACGTCGTTTGTCCGTTACACTGCGATGCGGCGCTAACGCGTTTCGATAATTCGTCTCTATACAGCTAAAGCTGAGCGATTGCTTTGAAAAAATATTCAAAATTTCCAAAATATTTAAAAAAAAAAAAATTATTTCCAAAATTTTTTTTTACACAGATTTTTTTTTTAATCTAAAATTTCTCAAAAATCTAATTTTTTTATAGTTTTAAAAAAATATTTAATCTTTTTTAAAAATTTACTTTTTGGTACGCGAAGTTCCAGCAATTTGCTTTAAGGCACGATGCCATAGACCACTAGTTTAAAAATATTTCTAAATATAAATATTTATAAATATATCGTAAGTTGTTAATCTATTATTATTAATAATAATCTATTAATCTATTAGTATTGGACAAAATTTACATTGTATGCCGCTCTGAGCCTTACGCTAAGATCTTTAGTTTTAGTCAACAATATAAGTATTATCGATTGCTTTCTCTTAATCGAAATAAGTGAACAATTAGTATCTTTATCCATCTTGTTTTTTTTCTTTCCTGATGTCTGCTCTTCGAGTTGTAGACATATTTAACGTTGTTCTTTGGCTAGAAATCGAGAACTCGGTCGAGTGTAACGGTTGCAGGCCGAACGCAGTTATCGATGACAATTAGCGCCACCGTGCTATCTCTGGTTGTTTTTTGTTTGCTCTAGTTTTTTTTTTATATTATTTCATCTACCTTCATCTTAAGCATTCTCCTTTCTACCTATGAATCGAATCGTTGCCGATTATGGAACTAGTAAATTGATCAACAGTGTTTCTCGCTATTTCAGGCATAATCGATTTAACTTTTTATGTCGGGAAAAAGTTGATTCTGAACTATATTGTTATTGAGTTTTGTTAAAAATTACTCACTAATTTGATTCAGGACTTTCCCGTCGATTAGTGGTTAGAGATATGGGCTATTAATCAGTTTTGTTACCTACCTCGGGCAGCCTATTTGTTAAGCAGTAGTGATATCGGTTTTTGTTTGATAATATAGATTGTATATGATATTTACGATAGTATGTATATGTATTATATATATATATATATATATATATATATATATATATATATATGATGGTTATATAAATAGTATGATAGTATGAGTTAAAGAAAAAAATAATGCTCAATGGATAGTTTTTTAAGTCAAAACAAGTATAATCATAATTTAGTCATTTTTTATTTATAAATTTACTATTTTTACAGAATATGTATTTGATCTTAGCAATACATGTTTCATTTCACTTCATTAATAAGAACTCTGTGCTGCAACAAATTTATAGCATTTAACATTTATAGAGTTTGTTGCTTCGAGATACGAACAATTCGACATGCGAGCGTTCCTACAAAACGAATTTAGCTCGTAAGGCGGGTTACTACTGTATATATACACATACAAATTTAGCAATATTGATATCAGATTTTTACTTGAGATTATACATTAGAAATATGATTCAATGAGGCAAAGAAGCATTTCGGCGGAATTGCTGCAATATATCTGATAAGTCTTAAAATAAAATTAGAACTAGTGGGGTGTATGGCATCGTGTCTTAAGGCAAATTGCTGGAACTTCCCGTACCGCAACGAAATGTTCGAGGAATATTGAATGTTTTCAAATAGATTATTATAAATATTGTAACATTATCTAATATTTATAAGAATTATATAAACTGAATTGTAAAGTTGAAATTATTTGTTCAAAGTATATTAGAACTTTAGTCAGAATTACAATTAAAAACTGAATGATTTTCAATATACAAAAAAAATATTTTTTGAAAAAAAATTTTTTTTTGAAAAAAAAAATTTAAACAAAAATTTATTTTACCAAAAGCAATTATTTTGTTAAAACAAGCAGAAAGATCTTTGAATCATTCAATTCGGACGCTTAGTACTCCAAAAACTGCCATTTTTTGCACATTTAGCTCTGTATCTCCGAAACCGCTGGACCTGCCCTTGCCAAAAACTAATCATCTCTTCTCCCCGTCATTACGAATTGAATGTTTTTTGGATGATTCAAATCGGATGCTCCGATCTCTCAAAAACTTGCTCCGTATCTCCGAAACGGCTGCACGCGCCTTTGCCAAAAACTAATCAGCACATCTCCCTATCAATATAAATCAAATGTTTTTTGAACCATTTGAAGAGGTTAATCCGTGCGCCCAAAAACGTGGACAAAAAATTGTATCCATACATACATACACACACACATCCATTTTTTCTGAGGTATGCCAAAATGTTCAGAAAACCTTCAAAACGTCGAGAAATGTAAAAAATTTTCAATTTTGATTTTGGACGATTACAATAACTTACCCTACGGGAATTTAATAAATGTTATTTTGAGGTAGATAATGGTCAACCTCCCGGGTTATTTTCTAATAATACTGAACAGAAAGAGCACCTTACGGCAGCTCACATAACAAGAATATTCATTGCTGTTAAAAAAGTCCATATAAAGTACCAACTGTCTCTTTCATGAAGACATTTAATAATTGTTTTGTTAGTAGTTAATAACCTTGTGGTTACAAATGTATTTATGTACCAATAATCATAAAAATTAAAAATTTCATACCTGCCATCGTACATGCCAAACGTCCATCGTATCGAAATTCTTTTTGTTATGTAACACAACAAGAATCATCGACCTGTCTTTATGTTCCTCGAACAGCGATTATTTCACTTAATTTTTACGACACATCAAATTTGTTTTATGAGTTATAAAAATTAAATTCGAATACAAATTAAATTTTTATTGGAACGAGCATAATTTAATTATCACGACACGCAATATTGTTTTTTTCTTTAATTTTTTTGCAATGTTTACTAAAAATTTTAAATCGCCTTGTCAGAATCGCTTGAAATTGAATTATTTTGACACCTCTGTGATTTCATGATAATTCTTTTTTGATACATTTACCGTATAGATTGAAAAAATACGCTTATAATATCTATATCACTTACACATTAATTACTACATAAATAAAGAAAAAGTACAATTTTATTCATTTGACACTCACAAATATTATAATTGAACCATAACCTTACATTTGCATTACCGGCACGTGAACTGACTTGAAACGGCGTGGTGTACTATTAATAATAGTATTAATATTCTAAATGCGCATTTAATATGCAGGTAGTTTACCAAAGGTGTCATAGATGCCGCAAATATTTATAAATGCATATGACTGTTCATGAATATTATGATATTATAATATATAGTTTTTTCATACTATATATAATATATTATTGCACTTGATTTGTAAAATTTAATAAACCGTGACTACCCGTGTTTGCAGTCCTAAATTTTCATTTATTTTTTTTGCCAATGATTTTGTTCCAGAAGTTTGTGAATAAAGTTTTATAAGAAATTTAATAAGCTTTATATATATACATATATATATACATATATATATATATATATATAATAAAATTGTTTCTTGGGCATCCATCCAGTAATTAAAAAACAGTTTTAATGAAAAATGTTTTTATTTATAGAGAACATACGTTTCGGGTCTGGATTTGACCCATCTTCAGTGCATACAAATAAACTTTGAAAAACAACACAAAAACACAAAATTGCACGAAAAATAAATAAAAGTGAAATAAAAAATTGATGAAACGTCGAGTTATGAAAATTTTTAAAAAAATTGTAAAATTAAAATGAATGATATATTTTATTATAAAAAAGCTTATTCCAAACGAACATGTTGTTAGTTTGGAAGTTGTATTACGAGTGAAATTATTATTATTTTTTTTATTATCTCTTTTATTTACAACTGTCCGGTAAAGGACATTCAATAAATTTGATGAATTTACAATAGTCGGCCGAAAAGGGACATTGTATACTACATTAGCATGTTGGAAAAAACAACTCAGTAGTTGTTTTTTCATTCGATATAAAATTCACAATATTTTATTGATAATTATATAATTTTAACTATTTACTTATTGAATAATTTTTTATAACTAATGATTAAGTTATTTCCATTTTTTATCAGGAGAGTTGATGGCTTAAATCTAGTCGCGCTTTTCTTTTCAATCTTCTTGGATAGTTCTCTGTTATCAATTAGTTTGCTAATGAATTTGGGTGACTCATTAGCTTGTTTCTATACTTGTGTGCTGTTTTTGTAATTACTTCATCAATGACATTATGGCATTTGAAATATTTAATTTTCATTCAAAGTTGTAAAATTTTGTCTTAAAAATTCATTACAACAGTTAAAAATTATTAACTCTGATGTCATAACAAATTTCATTAGCTATTCTTTGATGTATAATAACGTATATATATTATAATATAAATTACTATTAAAATATCGAAAAAAACTAAATAAAAAAACTATAAATTAAACCGATGGTACTGATCTTAATGCTCAATATTTTTTTATAAATAATTTTGATACAAAAGTTGTTCAATGATGAATATAAGTAATTAAAAAAATCTGTTTGAAAAATTTAACAAGCTATATGTCTATAAATAAATTATGAACAAGCTAACGCTAAACATAAACAAAATACACTTATTTACCAAAACACTATTAGCAATTCCACAATAGCGTTTGAAATATTTAATTTTCATTCAAAATTATTAATTAAACAGTTGTTACACTTATTATTAATTATGGTATTATAAAAAAGTTAATAAGCTATCTAATTATGCATAATAACTAACAGATTATTTTATTAATTTTTTAGGTTAATATTAAACTTATGACGCAATGACATTAAAAAATGTGGAGTTTTCAGTTGTTTTACCAAAAAAAATTTCTAAAAGTTAAAAATCAGTAAATGCTGATTTATATGTCATACAATAAGTTATTTACTCTTTATAATAACATATATGCTAATGAACAATCTGTAATTAAAATATCACTAAATGTAAATAAAATACACTAGCACAAAATAATTAGTAATGATTTAATGGCATTTGAAATATATTATTCCAGGTGTACTTACCTGTATTTTCTTTACTTTCAGAAGGGCGCAAACTTTTCGGCGGCTACAGGATAACGCCCCGAATCTGCAAGCCCACGAGGACGATTCACATGCCGATCAGCGAACGAGGAGCGACGATATGCATGTTCAACCACGAGTGCGCGAGGCGCGGCGGCGAGGTGGTGGGCGCCTGCATGGATGGCTTTCTTTTTGGTGCCTGCTGTCAACTTCCAGCTGTCGAGGTGCCGACCCTGGTATCGTCCGAACCTGTCGTTATGGACATATCAAATAGTCACGATTTTAGCGATATGTTTGCCCATGCTGGTGTCGGTTCTTCCAGCAATGGCATATCTGCTCTCGATCACTTCAACAAATACGGTGGCAGTAGCGGAGGGCACAGTTCCACCCGCAAACCCTCTCCCTCTCCTGATTATTCTGGTTCATCCGAATATACTGATGAGTTACCGAGTAGAATACCAGTGTTTTCTAATACTGAAAAGTATCACGATTTTTCGGGTAGCGGTGTTTTAAGTAACTCTATATACGAAACTGAATCTCCTGAACATTATAATTATAGCAGTATTACTCATGATGATGCTGATACGGTTCTTGTACATTTGAATGGATCCAAAGTAACAGATGTCGCTAGGCCGAGTGACTTCAGTTCTGAATCGGTAACAGCAAGCACGGGCACAGGCTACTATAAAGATAAATTTGATTCAACGTTAATGCCTTTATCACCTGAAGAACTAGCACAAAAACCAATATATTTACGGCCCATGTTCCGGCCGAAGCCAACACGAAGACCGCCATCTGACAATGATAAATATGTACTTGTACATACTGTGAGTAATCAAAAGCCGGCTACTCAAAGACCGGAGAATAATAAAACTCCTGAAATTGAATCCATCGAGTCCATCATAATGATGTTGAATGATTCCAAACCGGAATATACTGGTCATACTGATGTCATGGGGCATAGACATCCAAGTACTAAACCATCACATTATGGACAATCGACCACAAAATCACCACCATCGATATCCTATGTATACAGCCCAACAGTAACAAAAGACCGGGATATGAACCTAATCATAAAATTACGCATGGGCAAGGTATATCATCGCACACTACAAGTGCTAAACCGCCATCAACAAGTTATGTGTATAGCCCCACGCCGACAAAATATATTCCTAATAAGTTGGGAGTTGATTCAAAAACTACCGAATCATACGGAAATGCAATAAAAACTCCATCGACGAGTTATGTCTATAGTGCTACACCTACTAAGCGGCCCCCTTCCAATTCTCACTATTCTATTTCGCCAACTAAGAGTCCAAGTAATTATAACTATAGTCCTACTCCAACCGTAATCATTTTAGATGTGCCCAACGGTAATGGTAATGTTAACAAAATATCAAATCCAGGTGATAATACTGAATATTACACGCCAACACAAACTATTAATTTTAGACCAAGTGCAGGTGGTGTTGTGCATAATTCACCCACAATAACTATCAGTCATCATGTGTCTGCATCGCATGGAATTCAAGTACTTAATAATGGAGCTACTGAGAGGCCTGCACCAACGATACTTATTACACCAAAACCAACCACTAATATTGTAACAGCTAGCAGTTGGTCGAATCGGCCCGGTGTAAATCGACCTACTATAATCAATAAAGTTACATTAGGCGCAACAACGCACTTACCTATGTCTACATTTGGTTTGGCTACGAGTACTAGACCACCATCGACGTCGTATGTGTATAGTCCGTCGATCACAAAGCGCCCTGGTTCAACGACTCCTAGTTCCACAGTAGGGTATGGTTCTCTATATGTTCCACCAAAAGATGATTATGATCAACAAACATCACAAGATGATTTGATAAATTTTCCTCCAGTACGGAATCCTAATTTAAATACGTCTATAATGCATTTAGCAAATTATAATAATAAAAAGAATGGAACACTTTTAGATTATGATGATATTGAAATATCAACACCAAGCTTTATCGAAGATGGTATATTAGATGATAAAATAGATTTATTTGTTAATAAGATAGTAGAGTCGTTGCAGGGAAATTTTCAAGGATTGACAGATGTTGTTTACAACAATAAAAATGCAAGCCAAGTACTTGCTGCTAATACGCCAGCAAGGCCTCAAAGGCCTGCAGATACGCCGGTAACGAGGCCAACGCGGCGTCCTACAACGACTACTACAACCCGAAAACCGCCCACACGAAGGCCAAGTACTCCGACTAGAAGGCCTTCGACGACTGTCGCCCCTAGCAGGCGCACAACAACGACTAAAAGGCCAGTTACGACAACAAAACGGCCGCTACGTGCCACCACAACCCCAACAACTAAAAAACCGATTACAACGAGAAAGCCTAAGCCCACCACCCAGAAAGTGAAACCCGCAGATACAACAATTACGACGAAAAGACCACAGAGGGTAAGTGCACGCCTGTGATTGGGCATTGGCTGAAAAGCGAGACCGTTCAAGCGAATCTTTATTTACAACCAATACGACGCTGACTATAATATTAAATAATATATAAATTAAATATAAATTAAATATACAATTAATATAAATATTATTCAAGAAATATTACCATATTGTTAGACGTACTTAACATTAACAAATAAATTCTTTAAGCTAACTACCACTACTAAAAATCCGAAACCTACTAAACGTGTGACTGTGCCCACGACTACTGTCGAGTTCGATGAAATTTCGGAGGAAGAAACGACAACTTTATCGAGTTCAGCAGGTGTAGATTATAATAAACGTAAGTTAAAAATGCGCGCGGAAATAAGATAAAATAAATAATAATTATTACTTTTGTCGATCCAGAATGCGGCATTCGACCACTAATAAAAACAGCTCGAATCGTTGGTGGAAAAGGTGCACAATTCGGACAATTTCCTTGGCAAGTTTTAGTACGAGAATCAACGTGGCTCGGATTGTTTACTAAAAATAAATGCGGTGGAGTGCTCATCACAAATAAATTTGTAATGACAGCAGCGCATTGTCAACCCGGGTGAGATATGAATATCGTCAATAAAACGATGGATTAGATTACGGCATTACTTTCGACTTAGTACTATCAATTTACCTGTATATGACAGCAATTCTATATTATTCCAATTCTTATTTCAGATTCTTGGCTTCGCTTGTTGCTGTGTTTGGCGAATTCGATATATCTGGCGATTTGGAATCGAAGAGATCTGTAACTAAAAACGTTAAGCGTGTAATTGTTCATCGACAATATGATGCAGCAACATTTGAAAATGATTTGGCCCTTTTAGAGTTAGAAAGTCCTGTGCATTTCGATAGTCATATAGGTGAAAATAAATATCACTATAAATATAAACTAAAATTAAATTTGCACATAATACAAATATAATAGTAGTATTTGCTAGCTTGAATATTAATGCACTTTATTTTATGGTAGTTCCTATCTGTATGCCTCCTGATGGAGCTGATTTTACGGGAAGGATGGCAACAGTAACTGGATGGGGTAGGCTGAAATACCAAGGTGGTGTGCCATCTGTCCTTCAGGAAGTACAGGTATAGTATACAATTTATAAATTATGTATTGTAAATCACAAGGATGTAATGCTTCTAATGTCGTTATCCTAATGTATTCATTCGCATTACCAGGTACCAGTGATCGAAAACAGCGTTTGCCAGGAGATGTTCCATACAGCTGGCCATTCGAAGAAAATCTTGGAGTCATTCCTGTGTGCCGGTTATGCGAACGGGCAAAAGGATTCTTGTGAAGGTGACAGTGGAGGGCCGCTGGTTCTTCAGCGGCCAGATGGAAGGTGGCAACTTGCTGGTACTGTGTCTCATGGTATCAAATGTGCGGCGCCATATCTGCCTGGTGTTTATATGAGGACGACGTACTACAAGCCCTGGCTGCAGAGCGTCACCGGCGTTCACTAATAACCAAATTTAGTCTTCTGTACAAGGACACAAGCTTTACCTAAGCCAGTCGCATCCTGGTTTTGTGAATAGAACTGTGCAGTGCATCAGTTGTATTGAAATTGACTGGAACACTTGTGCTAAACATGACATTAGAATACGCATATTAAATAAACGAGAATATTTAAATCGGCGCCCGCGGATAATTCTCGTGAAATGTGCGTCTCTAGTTGCGCCACATTTGCCCTTAGTCCGAAATTCTACCTCGCCTGAATTTATTGCATTGCGAGCGAAATAAATAGTTGATATTCTACTGAACTCGATTAGTAATCAATATAAAAATATTATCAGGCCATTTATAGATATTAGGAAATTCTAAAATGTACACCAAAGTCGTTCACACTTATCTTTTGATATAATGTGTTTTTTTTGAACTAAAAGCAATTTATTTAAGTTTTTTGTTAATGTTTTTGAGTCAAGTATAAAATTCCAAACATTGAGTCTAACAATGTAAGTTCGATATTTCAAACAGAATTAACTTTAATATCACACTAGATCAGTGTGCAATGACTGCAATATTTATTTATTTATTTAAAAGTGAAATCATCATGCACTAGTACTTTAATGTGATTGATGAATCTGTGAATGATTATAAATGAACGAATGCTGAATTTTAAATTATATCTATTTATTTGAATACTATTTGTATAAAAGTGTAAATTTATGAATGTAATTTTGATATTACCAACATTGTTATTTATTTATTTAATTATAAATAGGATTTAAAATAAAATTTATTATATTTGTTACATTGTGTTTGAATTATTGTACTAAAGAGAAACATATTTTATAAATTGATATCAATATCGGAGATATAATACACAAAAATGTTTCTAACAATATATTTAATCCAAATTATCCCACAATGTATTTACATTTTATATATAACCCAAAATTGAACCACGGTTCTACATGATACGTACTTTACTAATTATAATAAAATAACATTAATTATATAAAAATATTTTAAATACTAACTATACATAAACAATTAAAATTTTTGAAACAAATATATAATTTAATAGAAACGAATTTTCTTAAAACGTTATTACTTAATCATGCATTCAAATTGCTGCAATAAATATTACACTACGCAATAAATAAACTCAAACAACGCGTTATATATATTTAGATAATTTTGCTATTTATTTACTAGTCAGAACTTAATATTATTTAATAAACATAATTATTCTAACATTGACTGAATCAGCAGCAGTTGTTTTTCTTAAAATATCATTATCGATTAGCAAACTTTTCGGTAACTCTTGAAATATTTGCAAGAATAATACAAATTAATAATTAAGCACAGATGATGTAAAGTTAATCATAAAAATTACACAATCACAAGTATGTCTTTTTGGTCTTTTAAATTCCCGTCTTTAGAATTTTAAATTAATTTATTATTGGAACTTTCGATTAACACTTAATAAATACTTTGGGTAAGCTCGATGGAATAAAAATTATCCCATTACTTTGTCAATCCACGGTATGAATTTTTGTATATTGGTATATACGCCTGGTAAATGCTCACGACCACATCCGATGCCCCAAGAAACTAGACCCACAAGGGTCCTTCTACCCTCAATCTGCATTGTTAGAGGACCTCCAGAATCACCTTGGCATGAATCACGACCACCCTGAACGTAAAAGAAACAATTAGTATTTTATATCATTTGAAAACATTATATTACACATTTATATATCTTTCTTCTCATTGAAATTAATTATTAACATGAAAGACAGTTTTCTCGATAATCACGTACATACCTGACTTTTCATATTGAAAATGAGTTGCAGTCTGTTCAATCAATGAGTTCTACAATTTCTCATAAAACACCGTTAAAGTTTTGTCTTGTGGAATAATAAAGAAGGCAAAAAGATAATAGAATAAATAATGACAATTGTGATCGAACTATTTTACAGTTGCCTAGCTAATCAATCAAATCATGATGTAAAGAATTAATAAAAAATTTAGATTCTAAATTATGGATAATTGATATAAAATGAATAATACGAACGTAATTCAATTTTGTAGTTTGAGCAAATTAATTTCTGCACAGAAATTTTTATAAGGCTTTGAAATATTTAACAGTCTACATCAGTTACTGAATCACAAATAGCAAATAAAAAATAAATTCTTGAATTGAGATATTCAATTGTTAATATTTTATTTATGACATTTATATTCATTTGCTAAAAGTAGTTATATGCGAATGATTAATGTTAAAAAAAATCAAAATGTGTGAAATGATATATTGTTTAAGGCGATGAAGATACTGATTCTATATCTTGAAAATAAAATTAAAATTTGAAAAATTTCTGGACTTTCGAAATTTTAAGTATGATGCCAGTGTTCAAGAAACGTAAAACATTGAATTAACATTATGAGTATTATTATTTATGAGCATTTTTTAGAATTGAGACTTTATATATGATCAAATAAATTTGCAAGAATAGTTGTCAAGTAAATGTGTTTAAACATCTATGAAGGCGCTATCGCAGGATAGCGATCCTTCTCACGCAGTCAAATAATATATAACTGTAACAAATGTAGCTGAATGTACTTTGTATAGCTTGCTATGAAAAATAAATAAAAAAAAAGAAAATGTGTTTAAAAAACGTAAAATTTTGAATTAACTTGACATTATCATTTATTAGTATTTTTTTAAATTGAGACTAGAGCAAAGGTAAATGTAAAGCTAGAGTATAGGTAAATGTAGAGCTTGAGTATAGGTAAATCTAGAGCTAGAGTAAAAGTAAAGGTAAAGGTAGAGCTAGAGTAAAAGTAAAGGTAAAAGTAAAGGTAAAAGTAAAGGTAAAAGTAAAGGTAAAAGTAAAGGTAAAAGTAAAAGGTTCACTACCAAGTGAAGTTATTAATTTTTAACAACAATATTTAAAAGTTGAGAAATTTTTAAATATTTAATTCAATTTTGAAATAGAGGTACAGTAAAGATAGAGGTAAAGGTAGAGTAAAGGTGAAGGTTCAGGTAAAGGTAGAGTAAAGGTGAAGGTTCAGGTAAAGGTAAAGGTAGAGGTCAATGTAAATTTATGTAATAAAGTGTGTGCCAAAACGAGATGTTCATTTTCACTTGCAAATATAGATAAAAATATGTTTCCAATTGAGAACAAGCCCATCTCGAGCACTGTGGTGAGAAGTGGAAATGGAAAAACTCTTACACTATTTCTTTCCTGAATCGAGTTGGAGTTTGACACAGCTCACATACACACACACACACATATATATATATATATATATATATATATATATTGATAGAGCAATCAGCGGTTAAATAATCTCATTTTTATTTGTAGTTATATTAAATATGTATATCTAATAGTGATGAGTATATGCACGTTGCAGCAAAGCTCTCGGAAAGCAATGTTTTCTTAAGATCTATAATCTAAAGTAAAAATCTAATTTCATAGTGCTTAAAAACGAGCTGGCACAAATTGGGATCGAACCCGAAACTAGTGTTTGGTAGTCCACATTCTACGAGGTGTGTTCAGATAAAAAAAAGTTAAATTTCTCGGATCTGGAGAAAATCGAACTTGTCAAAAATTATTTTTCATTATGTTGGTATACATGCTCCTAAAGTACCTTAAAATCTAATGACATTCCGATTTCTTCGTTGATGTCGGTACGCATACAATGTTGATGCCGGTACGCATGCCGGCATACAAATGTTTTCATCGATAGCGAATGCCGTTGTATTTGCACAGGTTTACTCTAATTGGCAATCGAACTCTCCAGACACGATACATTTAAAAATTTCTAGCAGTTTTTGAAACATCTCGTATACCACTACATGACAACTGGCTTAATTCGTAAAAGACTTAATAAAATAATATTACCTCGAGTCGATCCTTTCACAAAGATCTCATAATCACCTGTCCGATTATTACCGATAAATAATATGTACCTCTTTATATCCGGCGCAGAGAAAGACATCGTGAATGGTTTCTCGTCGACCCGCAGCACGGAACCACCTCTGGCATCTTTCATTCGGAATCACCTCGACATCGACTTCCTACAAACAGAAGATGGCGCGTTAGAAATTATTGGAAACATTAAACGATTCTTGTTTAATTATACGCTATTTATCTACTTTGTTATGCCAGTTATTATAGGTACCCGTATCATGTCATAGATAACTTATTCCCACGTACGCGGTTTATATTTGCCATCATGATAGGATGGAGTTGGTATTGTTAGATGGTTTATTCTAATTATAAGATGTTTTCACTTACGATAATGAGGTAAATAGACTTGCAATGATTTTTTGGACACTTGCCATTGGAGCGATTTCAATAGCAAAATTACAAAATTGCACTTATTTTGAAATATATAGGATATGGTGTAATCGGAAAAGATAGGGCTAATGCATTTTTGAAGAAATTTGAAATTTTGTATTGTAAAATGAAAATGTGTCCATGTATGTCTTAATAGTTTCTTGTTTTATAATTGCTATAACTACCAAATATTGAGTAAAAATATAAAACCTTCAAAACAATCAAACTTATTGTGATCGAAATGCACTGGGGAAATTTATGTCATTTTTATGCTTTTATTCTTTTACTTAAATTTTTTTTCAAGTATTTTACCATTCTACAATCCTTAACGAATGAGACAACTTCTGATATAAAATCATCTATAATGCAACAACGCAAACACATCTTATTGCATTTTTTTTAATAAGAACCCTTCAAAGTCTACCAATTTTGAAAATTTTAAATTCATAGTTCACCAAAAAGTCTTAATTCCTAGCAATTGTGTCGTTTTTTATTGTAGTTCTAGAATTGTCTAAATAAAATGTTTAAATGAAAAAAATTAAGAAAAATCATCTACAATAATCAAAAAAAGTTAAAATTCTTCCAAAACTCTAGGTTGCATTAAAAAACTTGTAATTTCCAAACAACGTGAGATATATTTTTGTAATTTTTTTCTGGACGTTGAGTTCTGGGACACCCTGTATATGTATATATAGATACAAACTTAAAACAAAAAATATTTTTGAATAGTCACATCTATCGAAATAATAGCAAAAAAGTATTTTTCTAATAATTTTTAATAGGCTTTCATATGTTTTGAATCATAATTTGACTCTTCTTCAGTGCACAAAACACAACAATTCATTAGAAATAGAAAAATCATAAAAAATGAATGAAATACTTTAAAATTCATGTTAAAGTATATAAAGCATTTAAATTGAAAAATATAAATTAAAATTGATTTGTAAATAAAAGCACTAACGTATAAATTATACAAAATATCCTATAAGTGTGTGTAAACCCAAGCTTCTATGTTATCAGTATAAAAATTATAAAAAAAAATTTATGCCAATATTGATGTATTAATACTGAGTCCTGTAATAATATATGAATATTTAAAGATCCATCATCTATAATGCAAACTTCTGCAATCAAGATTAAACGTAAATTGTTAATAAACAATAAAAAATAAACGGAAAGGGTTAATAAACAAAATTGCCCGATTTTAATTCTTGTAAACCAAAATATTTCTATTACTTCTTAAATACTGATTAAACCAATTAATTGCTGAATTATTGTTAACTCTGGTAAGAAGCTAGACGAATTCTAGTAAAAGCACCATAATAATATGGAGTAAGGGTGGTTTAAAAGATATCACGTGTATTTCTTTTTTTCCTCAAATTAAAAAACAACTAAAAATTAAAAAAAAAAGAAAAACTATTGTTTTTAGGTACTAAAAATACACGTGATATGTGGGGGCTCAAAGGAGGGGTTGTCCAAAAATACTCAGAAATTGCTCTCGTAATTAATAAACGCCTTCTGAGCAAATATTAAATTTTTTACAAATAAAGCAATTGCTGGATAATCAGAAAATAAATTTAATTAAATTAGCTATATATATTTTTTTTTCTCCTCGACTAACTTGTAAGACAGCCGGCACAGTGCTCTGCCCGTGCCTCGTCCGTCCCCATCCGGCGACTGTTGCCATTTTTCCAGCCAGTTTCATTTGCTTATGAGGTAAGCAGACAGGTAAAATATGTTGTTTGAAAATAACAGTTCTATCGAGTTTCACTAAGGCTACATCATTCCGGAAATCGGTTGGTGAATATGAAGGATGAACTTCTTTGCGTTCGATTGCGTATTCCTCGTGGTTCAGTCGCTCATCGTGGTCGCGAACGTCCCATTCGCCCAAACGCACCTTCAGGTTCGAATTTGGTGTCCTTAAGAATAAATAAATTTGTTACTCAAACGTAATATATTTTTATATAACAATATATTTCTTGAACCATTAATGTATTAAATCTTACTCTAAACCGATTAGAGTGATTCAAGAAGCATATCGCTTGTGTGAATGGTATGAAAAAATGATTGGGTTTTGTTTAATAACTTCTTGTAGGATAAATTATAGAAATCGCAAAAAAGCGAAAATGAAAATTTATTCATATCTTTACGTTTCAGAGGTTTCTGAACATTTTGGTATACCTTAGAAAAAATTGATGTATGTGTGTGTTTGTTGAAAATAACAGCTCTATCGAGTTTTACAAAGGCCACATCATTCTGAAAATCGGTCGATGACTATATTTGTGTGTGTGTGTATGTATGTGCAGTGGTTGACGGTTTTGGAGACACGTATCAACCGATTTGAATGATTCAAAAAACATTTTACTTGTATTGACAAAATGAATATCTGGTGAAGTTTTTGGAAAGGCAGGTCTAGCGTTTCTGGAGATCCAATAAAAAAAGTAAAAAATAATGCAATTTGGCAGTCAAAAATGATCATTAGACATATGCACATTTCGACTCTGAAACAGCTATGCAGCGCGATCGCTTTAAAAATTGTTCGAAATTTTCATATATAATAGAAGTTGATCCAACAAGTCAGATGTTTTAAAAAAATTCAAATCTAATTTTTTCAATGTTTAAAAAAAAATTAAGTTTTTTAAAAAAAAACTTTTTTCGGTACGGAAAGTTCCAGCAATTTGCTTTAAGGCACAATGCCATGCACTACTAGCTCGTTTTATAAAGATTTATTTAACGAATACACAAACTTTTATTTCTCCCAACTATTCGGCAAGCATTATAACACGACTATATATTAACCTTGTCTTTTACATAGATAGACAGGTACATATTTTTGACACCATATTAGAAAAAGTATGTTTGCTTTAAGAAATTCGTTTATTGCAGTTTTTATAGTTTTTTATAGTTTAAAAATAAATTATGTACTCCTATTTAAGTACAAGATCTTTCAAATATAAAATTCTCTTGCAGAATGATAAGAAAAAATTAAACATAGATTTATTATATGCTAATTCGATATGCATGTATTTCAACTTAAAATCTCATTTAATGTTTGTTGGTAATTATGATATACCTATACTTTATCCAGCGAAATGAATAAAAATGATTTCAAAATACATATATAATAATGTATAAGTATTTACTAAACACAATGCTGATGTAGTTTTTTTTAACTATAAATCAAATTGAACATTTAAAATAATTTAATAAATTAAGAATTAAAATACAAGTTTTATAATTGCCCAAAATTATACAAAAAGCGGTTTTTTATTCACATAAAATAACGATTAAATTTTAATTACTCCGTTAGTATTTATTTCCACAGTTTCACCTATTTTATTTACTGACACTATAATTGTCGCATATTTTTGTTATATTTCATAAAATTTGTTTCTAATTATATGTGTTGTACAATTATTTATAATAAATTATAAATTATAATTATATTATAATTACATATTATATATTTATAATAAATATAAATCATTTGCAATTTACGATGCTTGATGAAATAAATTAGTTGACAGAATATATCAGAATATTTATAAATTATTATATATTCACTCAACTTTTAGAACACTTATTTTATAAAATTAGAAAATAATTATATATTGAGAAATCAAAAGTTACGATTAGAAGTGATTAATTTCTGTAGTACAGACGCAATAATAATAATAAATTAATAACCTCATGAAATTCGTTTTGTATATGTATTTTTATGTCTGTGAAAATAGTATTTTAATGGCAAATATGAAAAATCAATTAAATATGAATTAGATATTTATGTATATTTCAATTTATATTTATTATTTAAATATGCAATTACTTTAAGATATTCAAGAAAATTAATTATCGAAAGTTGTTGTAAGAAATACATAAATTAATATTAAAAATAATTTTGATATTTATTATGTTTATATGTTCTAGCATGAATTTGTTCCGTAAGAAATCGTAATAATTTGTTTCTCAAAAAACTTGATTTCATAGTAAAACAACTAACGACAAATGCACTTTTAAATTATTGAAATCGGACGCTCCGTTCTTTCATAAACTTAATTACCTATTATGGTTCTTTTTGCCCCGTATCTTTAAAACAGCTGCATCTGTCTTAGCCAAAAACTAATAAGCATGTCTCCTTATCAGTAGAAATCGAATGTTTTTTTATTCATTTGAATAGGTTGAACCGTGTAACCAAAATCGTCGATGGAAATTTGTATCCGCAAACATACACACAAACATATACATCCATTTTTTCTAAGGCGTCCCAAAATGTTCAGATGCCTATGAAACGTAAATTTATATAAAACTTTTCATTTTTGTTTTTTTTGCGATTACGTTTACATTTACATTACATTTCTCATGAAAATTACAAAGAATTTTGGAGCACTTTAAATACAATTTAAAGCTTGAAAAAATAAATGCGTTTTGTAGGTGATTGACCCTAGACAATATCAGAATAAATTATATTCATTGATGATTGACTTTATATAATTCGTCAAGTTTTTATATTTTTTATTTTACATACTAGATCACAACAAAATTGTCAAACAACTTTTGTTTTGATGTACATCATAAATCAAAACAATTGAATCTGAACATATGTCGTACAATCATTTCCGATATTTATTGTAGATGATACTAAAATTTGTTTAGAAATTCTTATAAAACTATAATAAATATAATTACTCACGTGGCAACGCAATGTGCAGCAGTTATAACCCATCGATCGCTAACTAAGGCACCACCGCAAGATAATTTTTTACTCAAAAATCCTGATTTGATCAAAGCCGCCTGCCAAGGATGAGACCCGAATCCTGTTGAATGACCTCCTACGATTCTATTAGACCTCGTGTACAATTCTCCACAAGCTGTCGATAGAAATTAATAACATATGATAAATCACATTCATTAGATGTCCGTAAAATTCATGCATTTGTGAATTTGAAGAATTTGTGTATAGTGTGAGAACTGCCTTTGGGATTACACCTGTAGATGTGCTGAATATAAGGTGATCTAAAAAAATAATAAATATAAAGATGATAGGATACATGTTTTAAAAATATAAGACGTGCTGAAAGTGCAAATAAGTTTAAGCGAAATAATAATTAGAAAATTCGGTATTGCACATATGAAAACAAAATATGTTAAATTATTATTTAATGTCACTAATAATGAATTAATTCTAGAAATGCTTTTGATACTCAAGTGGAGGAAGAGTAATTTCAATGTTTAAAAAATATTTGGTGAAAACTAATTTCTGTGATTTTTTTTATTCAATAATATATTTACAACTTTCCTACATAAACATTAAGTAAATCTTTTGGCAATTATATATAAAAAATGACATCGATATATAAATAGTGAAAAATACACAGTTTCGTGAAAAATACACAGTTGCGATTTCTGTGACTTGTTATTTATATTTTTGTTACGAGACAAACTAATAAAAATAACCATACTCAAAAATTAAACTTTGTGTTCTGTAAAGTAATTGTGTAAAATTTAGAATTTTAGGAGCTATGTAAAATTAATTTGCACAGTTTTTAATATTCAAAATTTTTAAAAATCTATCAATTTGACCGAAAAGCTACATTTTATATCAATTTATTAAACGCAACAATTTTGAAACAATAGTAGGTTTAAAAAATGCTGTCAATTTGCCTAAAAATGCATATTTTAATTAAAATTAATAAACAATCACGTCTCGACTACCAATCAAGAATTAAACTAATTATTTAGGTTTCTGAAATGGCTCGTCAAATATTAATAAGGTAGAGCGGAGCATAAAAGTCCGGAGTAAAAAGGTCCACCATTATCTCAAAAACAAATAAAGTTAAATTTTTTTTAACAACAATATTTGAAAGTAAAGGGCAAAGAAGGTATAACTAGCCATAACTTTGATTCTTACGACGTTGCTGATCAGAAGGAAAAAAACAATGTTTGAAAATCCATAACAAAAGTTTTATTTTTGTTAGTTTGGACGTGAGCACTGTTGTTTAGTTTACTAGATCTGAATAAAATATCTAATTGTAAGTATACGTTAATTAATTGTTTTATAAGAAGTATTATTATTTTTAAGTTAGATTCAGCAGATGTTTCTCAGGACCATCTGAGCCTTTAACCCAGCAGAAGTGTAAACAATAAAAAATAGCAAATAAAAAAGTAAATTTAAGTTAAAAAAGCGATTTTACAAGAGTTAAGATAGCTAAACATTTATTCCTACTCTGCTGATTTCTGACAAAATACCAAATCAAGGTTATATACAGTGTCATCTATGTAGAAAATGAACCCGTGAAATTTATATTTTGCATTGGTTGAATAATATAGCTATTATTTCGCAAAATCTTTTCAAATTAAAAATAAGGATGTGTTTGAACTCTGACTGGCTTATTTTAGCCTATAGGGTAAAAAGGACCATGCAACAAATTTTAGAAAAACAGCAGAAAATCACATTTCTACAATGATGCATCTGGGAGTTTGACTAGACATAGTCAGATATTTGTGCGTTTAATATATTTTATTTGTTGTGATTCAACTGGTTTAGTTTTTACAAGAAAATTGCTCAGAGTGAAATTGGACCTTTGTGCCACGCTCTACCCTATAATATTTAAATCAGTTTGGTAAATTGAATATATAATAATAAATTATAGTTGAAAATCATAATTTTGTTTAAATTATTAAATAATTTCCAACCAAAAGTTGAAGTTATTAATTAAGTTTTTAAAATTGCAATTAAACATTATGTTTAAAATGATTTTTTACCATCAGAAAAATCTCAAGATCTATTGAACAAATCTCAATATCAAAACAATTATTCTTCAAGTGATCCTTGCATTACATGTTAATACTAATGTTAGAATTAATTTCGTTTTGGTGTAGTATTTTACTATAATTAATTCAATTGAGATAACTTATTATTCGCGATGAGTAAATTTAATCCTGTATCCGAAATATTTAGAGAATATTGAAAGCAGTTTAATACAAAGTTGTCAATTGAATAAAAAAAGGCTCTCATTGTAGAGTTTCTTAAACAAGCCACATTTGCGAACTGAATTTTGAGTATATATCTCAATAGCTTATAGAATAATAAGATTCTGATTGGTATCAAATTTGTGAATAACAAAAAAATTGAATAAAAATTCACATTTTGGTGGATCACAATCTCAGTACCAAATCGATCTAATCGCAAAAAACCTTTCATTTTCATATGTGCAAAACATCGACGTGCAGAAAGTGAAGACACCAAACATCAAAACAATTATCCAAATCCTCCATCCAAATGTATATCAGTACCCCTGGTCGAAGAAAGCGAGGTCGAGGGCGGCGGCCTGTGGTAGCTGGGCAACGGGGGCAGGTCGTTCGGATACACCTGGTTATTGTCGGGATATTGCTGGTGATGGTAATGGTGGCTATCGTAGGCATTATCATTGTCATTGTAAATATGGTGATTTGATGGGTAATGGTGACTTGGCGGCTCGTGCTGCGACGACGGGTAATAGCCCAGCAGGTGTATTGTGTCGCCTGCATTATTTATTTATTTATTTATTTATTATACGCCAATCGGCTATATACAGTTAATTATATAGTAATGTAACATAATAGTGTTAAACTATGGTATTTATATAAACACACATACATACACCCACACATGCACTTATATGTAGTCTCAAACACACTAGTAATGCTAACAAATTCTAATATTATTTCTTTCGACAATATTGATAAATGTACTATGTGATAAATTAAAAAAAGTTTAGTTTCGAGCACTGTTACTTGACCACCATTGCTATTCATTGGACTCTTCAATATATAGTTTTTTGTGTTTTTTGAAGTCTGCACAACACGATCTTAATTCTTGTCTTGGGCATATCAAATTAATTTTTTCTAGAATCTATTATATCAGTGTTTATGAAATGTTGTCTTGAATTATTTTAAATAATATATTACAATTATAGCATACAATATTATAAAAAACTAGTAGGGCGCATGGCATCGTGCTTTAAGGCAAATTGCTGAAACTTCCCGTACCATTTTTTTTTTTTTTTTAAAGATTAACATTTTTGAAAACAAAATTACTCTGAAAAAATTAGATTTTTGAGAAACTATAAATTTTACTTTTTTTGAAAAAAAAAGACTTTTTGAAGAAAAATTTATTTTGAAATATTTTAGAAATTCTGAACTTTTTTTCAAAGCAATCGTACTGCTTAAGCTGCATAGAGACAAAATATCGAAGCGCGTAAGCGCCGCGTCGCCGTCTAACAGATAAACATTGGTACGGAACCGATAGAAATGTAAACAAAATTTATACTTATTGTTAAAATCTCTATAAAATATCTGATAATTTAATGTGCATATGTCTAATGATCATTTATGACCGCTAAATGTCATTTTTTTGTTTACTTTTTTTATTAGATCTCCGAAACCTTCACGAAAATTTGATCAGTTCTTCATCCTGTTAATACAAGTAAAATGTTTCTTGAATTATTCAAATCGGACGCTCCGTTCTCTTAAAAACTGAGTTACCGTTTTTGGCACTTTTTGCCCTATATCTTCGGAACGGCTAGATCTGTCTTTGCCAAAAACTAATCAGCACGTCTCCTTATCAATACAAATGTTTTTTGAATTATTGAAATCGCTTCATCCGTGTTCCCGAAATCGTTGATGAAAATTTGCATCCGCACACACACATACACGCACATACACACACACATACAAACACACACACATACATCCATTTTTTCTAAGGTTTACCAAAATGTTCAGAAGGTTTTGAAACGTAAAGATATATAAAGATTTTCATTTTCGATTCTTTTGCGATTACTATAACTTGCCCTACAGGAAGTTAATAATATATTACATTAATGATGGACTTGCATACAAGAGGTACTCGGATCGAATCCGGGTACTGTGTCCAAAACAATTGATGTGATTGAAAATTGTACTTTTGACTAAATTCAAAACTACTGTGCAGTATTAATCTCAATATATAAGTTTTAGTACTTATGCAAATAACATATTTTATAAAAAATAATATTTGGTTTGTTTATTTTGAAAGGGTTTAAGTCATAAATCTTATATGCTAGTCAAGCGCAAAATAAGTGCTCAAACACAGAAGAGTATGTCACGTCACATGGTTGAGCAAATATATGTGACGTCACATACCCATCTATGTTCGAGCACACAAGTTTCTTGGTTTTTTAAATATATCAAGTTTTTAATTATGACCAAAATAAACAAATACTATATTATTCTCAAAACTTTGATTCACTTGTCGCTAAGATATAAAATTCTAAAAAACAAATAGAATTTTACTCTTGTTATTTCCATAAAAACTTTGATTGGAGTGAGGACTATCTTAAAGTATTAAGATCTAAAACTTTCAGAAACTTTTTTTTATCAATTTGGAAGTACTTGAGCTCCTGGGAGCAAAAAAAATCGCCCTGTATGAATGTTAATAAGAAATGATATTTTTACCACTATCATTGATAAAAGTCTATAAACAGCCTCCAAAAACTATCTTTAAAAACTCATTTTTAATATCAATTGCTTAAGAGAACTAAAATCAATATATATTTAATAAAATTTAGAATCCATGCAACCAAAATTATTTTCAGAGGTGTGTTTCAATAATGCATTAAATATTTTTGCATACAATCGAAAATAAATTTATAATATCAGATTGTCGAATGATAATATTGTTGTTTAATATTGTAATCATCACATAATATTTTGCACGAATGAAAAAAATGATTTAAGATATTTTACTACAATTTAATTAGTAATTAATTTCAATAAATTTTATATGTAAATACCTGAGCCAGAAAAATTTTCATTGCTGACCGGTGCAATTGATTTATCTTGATCATATTTAAGTTTTAGTA